TATGGTGATTTGGTTAATTAAGGTCATATGTCAACTTCTATGCATGTGAGTGTGTCTGTCTCTGTATTTGTATGTGCCTGTTAGTGTTGGTTTATGCACGAAACCCGAAGTGATGGCTCAAAATAATTAGGACAGCAAAGGTTGCCATCAAGGTTTGATGACTCCGATCTCCCCCTTCTGATTGCGCAAGGTCGGACACGTCTGGTTTTGTTGATGAGCCTATTTTTGGTTTTCGGTCTCAATGCGAGAGAGAAACAGGGAGCTAAAAGGACAGAAAATTGACTATCATTAGAACCAAAAAATAAGAAAAGACTAGTTGCGTCGCCTCCGTTTTGCAGGCGGCTCAACTCCCTCTCTATCCTTCAATCTATCAATTAAGTACAAACAGGCGTCGCCTCCTTTTTGCAGGCGGCTCAACTCCCTCTCTATCTTTCAATCTATCAATTAAGCACAAATAGTATTTTAACGTATCTTCTTACCGGTATTCCTTACATTCAGGGTATTTCCTATTCGGTTTATTTCTATGGCTTCTCTAATTTTACGTCTAGTCGCAAACATACCATAATCAGCAAAACGACAAGTTTGAGATCATTCAATCTCGTGTCCAGTTTCTGCCCTGTGCTCAGCAAGCTCCGATTTTTGAACCCAACAACCTTTTGTCATGTGTAGCCAAACAGCAACTGAGAAAATGGAATGTTCAGGTGACGAACAAGGGAAAGACAACATTCTTCACAACATTCTACCCACGCAACATGAGAGGATGGACAAACTAGATTGTTCAATAATTTACTGCGGCGCCTGAGAGCAGAAATATATTGGCGAATACGAATCAACGAAGATTAAAGGCTCTGCAGGAAAATGGATACCGAAAGATCATAAATGGCTGAATACATTGGTATGTGAGTAGGGTTTCGAGACTACCAGTAAATCAGTGTAATGAGATGTATTCACCCTATTTCATGTAAAGTAATAAAGGACTGGTAGTAGAATTAACCCACAATGATATGAATTGAGCTGACGTTTCCATTGAATTTCACCGGTTCCTGCACTGTCGCGGTTCGACTCCCGCTGAGGGTGTTGATAAGACCGATGCGAGGTCGAAACTGCAGTCTATCCTGGAC